ATGCTCAAAGTCACTAATCACCCAGGAGATGCAAATCAAAAGAACAGTGAGGTACCACCTCACACCTGTTAGAATGGCTATCATTAACAAATCCACAAACCAGTTCTGGCGAGGGTGTGGAGAAAAGGGAACCCTGATGGGAATGCAAACTAGTGCAGCCACTGTGAAAAACAGCTTGGAGATTCCTCAAAAAATTAAAAATGGAACTACCATTTGACCCAGTGATCTTACTTCTAGGAGTATATTCACTGTTGTATTACTATTGTTTTATTATTGTTATCTTTCTAAAATCATCTCCTACCTCTCTTCCCATTGAGGACTCTACTCCAGCTGCACTGGCTTTGCATTTGAAAATATCAAACATCCTTCTATCTCAGGACTCTTGAAATTGCTCTTGTGTCCTTCTGGAAAACTCTTCCTGTAAATACCCGCTCAGCTTACTTCCTATTCTGTGAGAAATAATGCTTACAATAAGTTTCACTGTTTAAAATCTAGGATTTCCCTTATGCATAAATATTTCTCAATCATATTCCATATCATAGATTTGTGTGGAGGATAAAGAAGCACAATACATTTGGCCCTGTCTAAACAGTGTTGTTAAGAAAGCAAATACACCATCATGTGTCTGTTTTCAGAAAAGGCCCAGGCTTCTGTACCTGAGGCATATGGTCTCTTTGATGAATAGCCAGATCCTGAAAGGACAAAATGGTACTGTGGTTACTGAATGGCCAACGGACCTGCATGTGATTTTAAAATCACTATAATGGCATATATTTTAGTTCACCAGTTAAGGATGTTTTAGACATTAATAAATGAACTGTGGGAGGGTGGGGGGCATGCAGCATTGATTTCCAAAGAAAAAATGGATGGTGGTCGTGGGCTCCTTTTTGGCACAGCAGTATTAACTTCTTACTTGCTTTGAATTATTTAATCAGACATCCTTATGTCTTTCCCCTTCGTTTTGATCTGTGCTCAAATGTTATCTCATCAGAAAGACCTCCCCTATCTGAAGGAGTATCCCTTCTTAACTCTCTTCCTTCTGTTTTTTTTTTTTTCCTTCCTACTACTACTTAACTATAATATTTTGGATTTTTTTTAAATTTCTTTTTCTTAGTCCTCGAGCAAGGAAATGTCCATTGATTTTTAGACATAAAGGAAGGGAGAAAGAGACAGAAAGAGAGAGAGATACATCAATGTGAGAGAAACATGGACCAGTTGTCTCCCATATGCACTGCGACGGGGGATCAAACCCACAACCTAGGTATGTGCCCTGACCTGACCTGGGATAGAACCTGCAACCAAAGTCAACAACACTTTTTTCTTTAATCTGAATTAGTTGAGAGAGAGAGAGAGAGAGAAAGAGAGAGAAAGAGATCTGAGAGTGAAACATAGATGGCTGCCTCGTGCACGCCCCCCACTGGGGATCAAGTCTGCAACCTGGCCATGTTCCCTGTCAGGGAATTGAAATGGCAACCTTTTAATGCACAGGAGGACACAAATCCATCTGAGTCACTTTTTTATATAAGAAACAAACTAAATAAAAAGACACCATTTGTAATAGCAATAAATCTATATAAAATCACTAAAAATTAGCAAAAGAATATATAAGAATTCTATAAAGAGATTATAAAAACTATTAAAATTTACAAAAGTATTTTTATTAATTGGATTTTATGAGAAGAGTTATAAAAGCACGTCTCTTTAAATTATTCTATAACTTTCATATATTTCTAATGAAATTCAGGTGGATTTTGGGAGAAAATTAGTAAACTTTTAAAAATATTACATAAATATTTACATATCTCTAAAACATTTTTAAAAGAGAGCAAAAGTTTATTCACAACAGAATAAAGTCCTGAATGCAAAAGTTAATACTAAAAGTTAGTAGCATATAATATATAAAGATACCTTTATGACCTACTAGCGATAAATTATTGCTTAAACTAAATTCCCATATTAAAAGCTCTAGAATCTTACTTAGAAATGCACTATGGGGGGTTGGTCCCCCATTCTCCATGCACAAGACTTGACTTCTTTGTTTTTTTATGTGTCACTGTGGCTAGACTTTATTTATTTTTCTACTTTTTCTTTTTTTAATTCTTTATTGTTTAAATTATTACATATGTCTCCTTTTCCCCCCACCCCCACTCCCAGCACGTGCCCTCACCCCCTAGTGTCTGTGTCCATTGGTTATGCATACACACACACACACACACACACACGTATATGGAGAGAGAGAGAAAGACTTGACTTGTAAGATCTTGGCCCAACCCAAGGGTCTGTCACTAAGTCAGTCCCTGCCAGGCAGGGTTCCTGTTTTTTTCCACCCTTTGGAGGACAGAAATGGGCATATCCAGGTTATGGGAAAGCAGCACAAACTGTTCTACTGGTTTGCATATTGTTCCTTCTGTACCACAAACTATAAAATTCATGTATTTTTTTTGCAAGAAAACAATAATAAAATTAAAAGTGAAAATTGTTGAATTTTATGTTATAAAAATAAGGCTTTCTCTTTTATAAAAATGAATGGTTGTAAAATTTAGGGAAGGTTTTGGAATGCTAAAATAAAAAAATATATATACACACACAAAGAGTAATATGGAATGGTCTTTAAAGAGTGTTGAGTAAAACACATTAATACATAAAGCACGCATATAGTAAAAAATAAAATAAAGGACACTGAGTAAGGTAGTTAGGGGGAAGCAAAAATGTAGTTAGTAGATGAGAAAGACACAAAGAAAATGACAATTGAGTTCAGGTCTCTGATGCCAGGGATACTGATATATGCATACTCACAGCGTGGGGTCATGATAGAGAGATGTTCTTAAATGAAGTACATATACTTATAATTCAATTACATAAGAATGTATTTGAGTTTTTAAATCTCCAAACTTGTATATTAATATAACTGTAATAACTTGGCTTTAATATCTATTTTAGGAATAACTGCAGATTATCCAGTTATATTACATGTTATAAATTTAGTCCATTCTCTATTTCATGCAATATTTGTAGAAAGCAGGATGGCTTAAAGACCATCACTTTGCCCTGAGTGTCAGAGCCCATATTCTACCAGTGTGGTAATTCACACTGACTGCCATTTTTGTTTGTTTGTTTGTTTGTTTTTAACTACTACAAGAGTTCTATTTTGGGGATGGAAGACTGTTGCCAACTATCAGAATCCTTTTCTCCTGCGCCCGTATCTTGTTGAAGACAGGCATTAGAAAAGCTGGACATAAGAGAGCTCCTTTTCAAATCCTACTTAACCAAGACATAATTTAGAATGGCCAATGATAAATTAATAAGCCATTATATTTCAGTTAATAAGATACTCAATTCACCCTTCTCTTCTGCTTAAAATATCCCTGGCACATCAGTAAAAGCACTTCCTGTTTATTTTAAGAAAATATTAACTTTCCACTTTAACCATAGGATAATTAACAGATTTATTTAGAACATGGAAACTATCAGAAGTAAAATAAAAAGAAATATTTTTAAAAATATTATTTGGTAACACTTTATATTTGATATTTTATCCAGCATTTAATTTTAGCAACTCATTATTATAAATATATTTTCATGCTGGAAAATGAAATCAGGGATCCTCAAAAAATTTTGTTAGACCAGAGTGGATAATTTAAATTTCTCTACAAGAGAGTCAAATGTATTAAATATTAACCTCCAAATTCTGCAGTTTTCAAATGGATATTCATGGTGAGGAGAGATAATTTGAAGATCTGCTGGATCTAAAAATGGGGATTATATCTTACTTTGAAAGTCCAATTGGTTGTACTCAATACAATCTGCAATCCCAACAATTATATAGCATTTTGGGGGGTAATCACAAAAATATTTAGGACAATTCGTTAATACACACTTTGTCATTTCACACTTTGTCATTTGCATGTTTACATTTCAACAAGAAGACCGAGTTCCTATAAAGGCATCATTTCACTCACTTGATTTGTCCTTTGCCATATATTGTAGTGTTGCTTCTTCTATTGGTATTATGTTTTGAATTTATAAAAGAAAGAAATTGTCAGGCAGATATATTGGAAAAAATTATATCTAGAAGCAAATAAGCCATTTCTTATATACTTATGTAGAGACACATTTATCAAATATCCAGATTTCCAAATAAATATAGTTTCATGCCAAACTGTTATACATATTAAAACATACCTCAAAAACTTATTTTTCCAAAGCTCTTTTACAATTTCATTATGTTGCCAAGATGAAGAGGGAACAATTTTCTCCCACTCAAACAATAAAGGTAAAGTTAAATATTTTGTAAACTATCCTGAAATTATACTTTTTAAAATCATTTCCTGTTCCATTCAATGTCCTGAAATAATTAACATAATTACATTTCCCACTTTAACATCTCTCTGCTCTGAGCAACATTTTATTACCTGCTTTATGTAAAATGTTTTTTATGATTACAAACTAGCCATGAAACTAATACAACTTGAGGTAAATCTCAAATGCCAAAGGAAGCTGTCCCGTGTTCTCACATAGATAACATTTATAAATCGTCAATATAGCAACTATGCACTACAGAGCCGATAAGAATGTGCTGAGCAGTATGAGGTTTTATTTTGTCAGAGTTGGCTTAACTCACAAAGTAAAGAGAGTTCTATGTGATTCACTACACTTTTGTAAATAATCACTATTTGAACATCCAAGCTACAAAGGATAGTTTCAAAAAATTAGTACTTCTAGTAAACATCTCTTAGAACTGAAACAAAAATCTTAATGGAATCAGAATGACATAGGAGAATTAAAATCATAACCCTAAAATATATTCCCTATCAATTGTGAAAAGGTGTTATTACTGTTTTCTTCATAGACTTAGAAGGGGGGATGTTTCTTGGAGATCCTGATTGACTATATATAAATCAGAGATTATTATAGCCCTTTTATTGAAACACTAAGTGAGAGTTTTAGAGGATAAGATAACCTAGGGTAGGACTTTCAATTACGCCAACGAAAACTCCTACCTGGCAGTAGACTCGCCTGTACTTTCATCAGCCATCATCTCCAAATCTTGTGAGTGTTTCTCACAAGCTCTTTTGTACAAATTCTCCTCTGGAACTGCTTTAGGAGTATCTTCATTTGCTCGAAGATGTTCTATCAGGTTCTGTGGGTGCCAATTCTGAAGTACTCTTTGATGGGCAGGGGCCAGTCCTGGCACTGGTGGCAATATGTTGTGGTGGACAGGACTATTGCTTTTCTTCAGTCCGTTTCTGTCCCGAGAGTGGTTCTTCAACCTGCCCTGAACCTGTCTGAAGGCAGTTTCCAGGGTTGGAAGAACCTTGAGAAGGATGACTAAACCACCTCCAGCGTAGCCGTAGGATCTGTTTCACATCAAACTCTTTCTTGCCAGACATTGACATTGTTGTAGGAGGAAAGACAAAAGCCTTCTCTCACAGAAAGGAAACGGAGCCTTTGTTATCTCTGGTTTCTCTGCCTCTTCTGTTGAACTAACAAAAGCACAAGTGCCTAGAGCAGCCTTTTCTTGTTTCCCCCCCTCCCCCGCTGCCTGCTGCTTGTGCTACACAGAGAATACTTCTAGCTTTCTAGCTGCAAAGCTGCAGCTAACAGTGTAGGTGGGAACCCATACTGACAGGATGATGAGGTCAGACCTTAAACAAGTAAATCAGCTTAGCACAGGAAAGCAGCTACCACAACACACTCCAGCTGCTAATGTGCATGCTCACTCACAGCCCTTCCCTCCTGGACTTGCAAATATTGAACCCAGCTTCTTCCTTCCCGAGTTACAGTAGCCCAGGCTTAAAACCAAGCATGTGAGCAAAAGCAAAGTGTTTAAACTCACTTCCTTCTAGAGTCCCTTCACTCACCCCACCCCCTGCCAGATTCTTTTCCCAGTAGCTCACTTCTAAAACTGTGCCACTTTGTCCTGGGAGAATTTGTAACAGCGAATTCATTATGATCTATTTTGGGGATCTTACAGAAATTTTGAAGGTGGTTTATTAAGGGAAAGTATCTTGCCATCAGTCCCCTCATTCAGGCTTGCCATTATTTTTACAATGCATCTGAAAATGTGAATGTCTTTACATAAATATTTGCTTGAAAACCTGAAGAGTTTTAAAAATATAAGAAAGTGTTTTCTAATCTTGTTAGCTTAGAAGAGATGTATTTTCTCAGTGACCAAAACTTGAAAATAAATAGTCCATTCTGATTCCATGCCTGTAAAAACATCTCCTTATCATGGTCTTCATTTTCATAGGCAGTGTTAAAGGTCTATTTTTTTAAGTTCTTATGAGAGGATGCAAAACAACAAGTTTTGAATTAACTCCAAATTGACACATAACTCAGTAATAGCTGTGCACAAAGTACTTTGAGATCTGAATCAGAATTACTAGTAGCACAGAGGTAGATGTTTTACAACATGAAATGCATCAATCCCATCTTGAAATTTAGTTTGAATTTTATCCAGATTTCCTGTCTTGCATGCAGGTGATAATGGGGCAATTATATCAGTGTATCCTTAGAAAGAATATTGAAGCTATACGGTTTTGGTTTTAATTCTGGATTTAGGCTTAATGAGATGTATAATCTTGGACAAGTCACTTTCTTCATTGCATCACAGTTCCTTCATACATAATATGGAGAGCCTGAATAGATTTCCAAAGTTTTAACTTGCAATGCATTTTTAAAACTTGGAAATAGAGAATGAAATGAGTATCTTTTTCTATATTGGTAGGTGTTTTACCTGCAGGTTTCTATAAATGCAATTATGCCTTTCTCTTATATCCCCACTTGTTTTGTAGGTGTAATGGAAAATAATATGTCAACCAACATGACTGGGCTACGGGTGCTCAGATATTTGATCAAACATTATTTTGGTTGTTTCTGTGTGAGTGTTTTTGGATGCGTTTAACATTTCAATAAATAGACTGAGTAAAGTAGATAGTCCTCCCTAGTGTGGGTAGGGCTTAGCCAAGCAATTGAAGGCTTGAATAAACAGAAGGCTGACCCCTCTCCAAATAAGAGGGAATTCTTCCTGCCTGATTACCTTCAATCTGAGATATCATCTTTTTTTTTTCCTGACTTCAGACTCAAATTGAAATATTGGTTCTTCCTGAGTTTCAAGCCTCCTGGCTTTTGGAGTTGAATTATACCATCAGCTCTTCTAGGTCTTCAACTTGCTGATAGCAGATCATGAGACTTGCCCGCCTCCATAGTTATGTGATCCAATTCACTATAATAAAACAATCTCTTTCTTTCCTCTTGCTCTCTACACTACACACACATCCTATTGTTTCTATTTCCCTGGAGGACCCTCACTGATACAGTAGGTTTTTTCTAGTACTAAAAATTAATAAACGTTGATAAATATATAGTTGATTTTTATACCACTTGCAAACAATTTATTGTCATCTCCAACTTTCCAACCTAGTTACCTACATGTTTCTTAAGCCTCAGTGTTAGCATCTATTATCATCACTTCTTGATGAGTGTGTTTTCCCTTCATAGTATTTAGCATGTAAATAATTGGAAAGGATCTCAAATAGTTCTCAAATTGATGAGCCCAGGCATATCAATGAATCCTGATAACAAAACATCAATTGCCTTTCTATTATCTGGGGAGGGAACATTCCAAGTAAACTCCTTGAAGATAATATCTGTGTTTTAGACCTTTGTGTTCCACACTGTGCCCAAAACACAGTGTTGGTCATTGGGTAAGCAAACTGTAGAGAGCAGTCAGAATAAATACAATGTTATAAGAGATTGAAAATAATGTGTCTTAGGCACAAGAATAATAACTAAATTGGCCATCTAAATAGCTCAAAATAATATATTCTGGGCCACCAAGAGTCTGAATTATTTTTCTATTACATTTCCCTGAGATTATTATGATTAAGATAAAATTGCATATTTCCCTGTGTACCTTTTACAGTAACATGAATGGTAACTGACACTTGTCATTATCTAAACATCGATAGAACAATATATGATTCTACCGAGAATGTGCTTTTTAAAAATATGCAGATTATGGCCAAGCTCCCGTGGCTCAGTGGTTGAGCATCGACCTATGAACCAGGAGATCAGGGTTTGATTCTCAGTCAGGGCACATGCCCGGGTTGTGAGCTCAATCCCCATTAGGGGGCATGCAAGAGGCAACCAATCAATGATTCTCTCATCATTGATGTTTCTATCTCTCTCTCCCTCTCCCTTCCTCTTTGAAATCAATAAAAATATTTTAAAAATAAAAATACAAAACATAAAAATATGCACATTATGGACATTTTCCTGGATCTTGGACACAGAATTGTGGAATGACTAAGAAAGTATATAGATCTAGAAAATTATTGAAGAGAATACTATTTTATGAAGCATAAGGGTTTCTCTTAAATTTTTGTCTATGAAAAAACGATTCAAACATATTCAAACAGAAATAAAGACGGTGTCTGTGAGGGGAGAACAATATCTTATTTATCTTTTCTTTTCCTTTGTCTTATTATTTACTTGAAATCAAGTAACTAATATATGTAGAATTAATGAATAACAAATTCTAAAAGAATTTATTGTCACATAAGTTTATTATCTCAATATATGCTAGATTTTTTTTTTACATTTTTTATTAAAGCATAGTGGACATAAAATTATATCAGTTTCAGGTGTACAACATAATGATTTGACATTTGTATAACTTACTATATTATAACCACAATAAGTCTAGTAACCAACATATGTCACCATACAAAGTTATTATGATATTATTGACTATTTTTTATATGCTGTACATTACATCCTTGTAATTTATTTTATAACTGAAAGTGTGTACCTCTCATTTCCCTTTACCCTTTCCACGCATCCTCCCACTACCCTATTATTCAGTAACCATTAGTTTGTTCTCTGTATTTATGAATCTGTTTCTATTTTTAAATAAAACTGCAAAATGGTTATGGGTTAAAATGCCCTTCTAGATAATTAATGATTATACAATTGGGAAACAAACCTGTGAGCCAGTTGAAAAATCCTGGCAACTTAGCAGCCATGTGCTCTCTTGATGTATTCTGAGTCAAATGCTGACCAGAAAATTAAATTAGTTGCTACAAGGACACCTCAAAATTTAACATTTTTCAAATGTACCTAGGAATACTTTTTTCCCCTATAATTATCTGATTACATGACTTAAAGAAAAATAATGCAGTTATAGACATCTGTGCATTAAAAGCTGCACAGCAATAACTTATCCTACTCCGGAGATGGAACTAGTCACTTGGCACAAGCTACATTGGGCAGCACTAAAATTATTTTTTTTTAAAAAAAAAAGCAGTGCAGGCATACCTCAGAGATACTGTGGATTTTGTTCTTCTCAATAACTTGCTGCAGCTTCTATATCAGCACTTGTTGCCTCACGTTGCACTTTTATTACGTTCTGAAGATGACTTCTTTCCTAAAACCTCAAAAACCAACCTCTGCTGGCTTTAAGCTTTTCTTTTGCAGCTTCCTTCCCTTTCTGAGCCTTTAAAGAATTGAAGAGATTTCGGGATGTGGCTCTGGATTGGACATTGGTTTATGGTAATATTGTGGAGAGTTTGATATTTCATCCAGGTTGCTAAAACTTTTTCCACATGAACAATGTCTGTTTCATTTTCTTATCATTTGTGTGTTTACTGAAGTAGCACTTACCATGTCCTTCAGGAACTTTTTTTTGCAGTCACAACGTGGCTAACTGACACAAGAAGCCTAGCTTTTGGCCTATCTCAGCTTTTGACATGCCTTCCTCACTAAATCAATTACAGCTTTTGATTTAAATTCAGAGACATGCAACTCTTCCTTTCAACTGAATATTTAGAGGCCATTGTAGGGTTATCATTTGTTCTCATTTTAATATTGTTTTATCTCAGGGAATAGTGAAGCCCAAGGAGAGTGAGAGAGATGGGGAGATGGACCCTCAGTGGAGCAGTCAGAACACATATAACATATATTGATTAAATCTGTTGTCATATGAGCATAGTTGTTGGCAGCCAGAAACAATTACATAGTAACATCAAAGATCACTGATCACAGATCACCATGACAAGTATAATAATCACAGATCACCATGCTAAATATCCTATATAATAAAGAGGTAATATGCAAATTAACCCTCATGCCCTCACAAGATGGCTGCCTATGACCAGGCTGGTGGGGGGGTTAGTGAGGGACAACCAAACAACTGAACAAGCAGGCTGCGTGGGGTGACCAGGTCAGCGGTGGGGGGGCAGAGGGACGACCAAATGACTGAACAATCAAGTGGCGTGGGGCGACCAGGCTGGTGGAGGGAGCCGTGAGGGGTGACCAGGCCGGCCGGGGGGCAGTTAGGGGCAACCAGGCAGGCAGGCAGGTGGAGGAG